TCACTGTGACCACAAGCAGACATATTTTATTTTACAAAGACGTTTGTTACTCCATCATGTTTAATGACAATACTTGGAAGCAAGCTAACTTATTGTATATTAATAGTGGAATAGCTAAATAATATTTTTATTACAGAATTTTGTGAAAGTTGCCAAAGTTTTATAAGACTAAAAATGCAGAGAAATACTTAAAGTAGGATTTCTATGCCTTTTGAAAATATTTTTTATTTTTCTGACTTTCAAATATTTCTATTCTTGAAAAAAAATCATAGGGGAAGGATGATGGCTTCATATTCCTATAACCTTCTACTTCCCAGGCTTTACTAACGTGATACCATGAAGTGATCTGTTTTTCTCATTCAGCAAATGTCTGGGAGCGTCAAATTCACAAGTTGTGGGTCTCACTCATTCTACATAACGGGTTTGCACAATTTGTTCTACAGAGAAACCAGAGTGGAACTTATCAAGTCCCAATAGACATTTAGATTGTTCAAATTTTATTTTATTTTATTTTTGCTCCTTGAAACAGTGGTGCTAAGGATATTACTTACACACTGAGTATTTAAGATAATATTTTCATATAGAAATGGTATGTCAAAGTACAGAAGTTTGAATAACATTTAATGATTGTAATTTTTCTTGCTTATCCACATTTTATTCATTTTAAAACTTGAGCTGTTTATCTTTTGGGTTAGGTTAAGACGTTCTTTACACATTGTGGATAGCAATAATCTGGTTATATTGGTCATGAACACTCCTGTCTAGTTTGTTTTTTTAAGTCTTGTGCATGATATTTTTCATATTTTAATGTAGTCAGATCTTTGCACGCCTCATTCGTAGCTTCTGGGTTCTGAAAAATAGTTACGGCCTGATGTAAGCATAAGGACAGGATATAAAATTACCCTTTCAACAACCTCTTAATTACGATAAGATTGTGGGCATTATAGGAAGGAAGAAAGGCCATGGGAGGAAAGGGGCGGTACAAGAGAAAGATTAAGAACTTACATGCTCAGGGATGTTTGTTTTCCTTTATTCTAAGTTTCTTTCAGGGCCTTGTATAACAGCTTGTTCTGGCCTTCATATTTCCTCTCACTGCTGTGCTATTTGGGGCCACCGATTCTAATACAGGACTAAAGGAAAAACGACCAGTGGCAGGTCTGTGAAGGGTCTCTTTGGGAAAAGGCTGCAAAGGCATATTTTTTAAAAAACGTTATTTCCTTAGAGGACCTGCACTTTTGTAGTTCTCGGGATTCTGAACCTGTTGTTATACATTCACTCTATTACCCCCCGCCGCCGCCGCCGCCACTACCTACTGCCCATAGTATACACGGTCATCATGGGTGTTGATTATATTTTCAATAGCCCCACAGTGTGTCCCTGCAGCCTGAACCAAATGATGTGTGTGGAGGAGGAGGCCCCTCAGGATCAATATTCCTAACCATTCGTGAGGTCCCATGCTCATCCTGATGGTTTTAGGCTCCATCTATGGGAATATCTCCTTGACAGCAAGAACCTGAGACATGAACACGCATCGCTAAGAGTGCAAAGCTCCTCCTCTAATGAATGATGTCAGACGTTTTCACCCAGCCCTGGTTCTCTTCCTCAAGCCCCTTCCGACCTCCTCCCAACAGCTACGTGGGACGGGAATTATGAAAGCGGCTTCTGTGTGAATCAGGTTTCTATACTCTCTTTTAAACAGGGCCAAGGACTCAGAAACAAATTTCCACAGACTCAGTGTTGGTTTCCATCGTCATAAGAATCCACTTCCCTGATAGGCAGGCAGTGTGCGGCCACCTTTAGTGCTATGTACATAGGGAACCAACTTAAACGTGATCAAAGGGAGGGAGAGGTTTCCCCGCACCTTGTCTCACAGTAGGAAAAAGCAATCATAAAAACAACAGGACAGGACTTCACAAACGTCTATAGCCACAGATTTTTCTTTAGGATAGACAAATAAATGAGCCATCAGGCTGACAGTTGAGACTTATAAAATGTTTTTAGCATCTCTCCACCCCCCAAGTCCCCCAGGGCTGAAATTCCCTGGCTGAACCAACACAAATTTATTTAGTAGCTCTTTACAGTACTTGTATTTTGTACTTGCCAAGAAAACCTCCTTCTTGACTCTCCTTGCCAAGGTGCCTCTTCCGTGGCACCTGGCACTGTTGAATTTGTAGGCAAGCTCGGCATGGAGCAGAGTGGTGGGTCAGGGGGTGCAGGCAGACTCTGGAAAGTGATTGACCTTGGGTGGCAAGGTGTAGCTAGAGTTTCCCTGCCTGACCCACAGTCAGGACAAATCTTTGTCACCCACCAGTCCCACAGCCGCTCAGACCCAACCAAGTAAACACAGAGACTTATATTGCTTACAAACTGTGTGGCCGTGGCAGGCTTCTTGCTAACTGTTCTTATAGCTTAAATTAATCCATTTACATAAATCTATACCTTGCCACGTGGCTGGTGGCTTTCCGGTGTCTTCACATGCTGCTGGTCATGGCGGTTGTTGGCAGTGTCTCCCTGCCTCAGCCTTCCGCTTCCCAGAATTCTCCTCTCTCCTTGTCCCCCCTACTTCCTGCCTAGCCACTGGCCAATCAGTGTTTTATTTGACATACAGACCATCCCACAGCAGCAAGGGGCGTCCTGGATGCTAGGACTAGCTCAAGCAACCCAAAAGAATGGAACTAATACCACACTTGGGCTTGCTAGTGCAGAGAAGGTCAAGGGCCTCACAAACTCCATGCCTGGCCTCTCCTAGTACAGAAAGCCACAGAAAACCATGTCTGCGTGGCTGTGCTTCCTGGCCACAGAAACTCAACAAAGCAAAAATGTTCTTACAGCAAATTTCTCAAAAGGCAAGTGCACAAACAAACTGAAAGACACCGGTGTGGAGGGGTTCTGAGAATCTAAGGAGAGGATGGTCTGGGCAACCGCCTACCTGTCTGGCTGCTTGCGGGGCAGGTATGTGAGGACAACAGGAAATACTGTTTCCATTGAGGTGGAATCAGAACTCGGTTCCCTGTTTAGTAAGTTCCTAATCACAACCAGAGAGCCCTTAAGAGTAGTGATGGCCAGGGGCAGATCACCTGGGGCACATCTGGGTTCACACTGCAAACACGTCATCCACACAGAGAAAAGGACTCCCAGAGCGAACTCTGTGGCTGGGCATGGTGGTGCAGCTACTTGGGAGACAGACAGGAGGCTCACAAGTTCAAGGCTTGTCTGGACTCCAGAGTGAGTTCAAGTGCACCCTAGGCAACTTAATGAGACCTTGTCTCCAAATGCAAAGTAGAAGGAGGGCCAGGGGATGCAGCTTGGTGGTAGAGGGCTGACCAAGCATGCACAGGACCCTGGGGCTTCAATTCCCAATGCTGAAAAACAAAACAAAACAAAACAAAACAAAACAAAAACCCAATTTTGTGTGTATGTGTGTGTGGTGGTGGGGGGGGGGTAGTTTCCTGTTTGCATGGGTGGGTATGTGTGTGGAGGCCAGCCAGATGTCAACCTCAAGTATAAATCCTCAGGAGCTTTCTACTTTGTTTTCTTGGGATAAGTTCTCCCAACGGCACCTCTTTGCTCCACCCGCTCCTGCCAGAGCTGATATTACAAGCCCATGCCAACAACACATCTGGCTGTTTCTGTGGGGGTTGGAGGAACTGAACTCAGGCTCACACGCTTGGACAGCAAACCCTTTACCAACTGAACTATTTCTCAGGCCGAACAAAAACTGTCAATGTTGGAGGGCATACAAGCTCTGTAGGTAAATGCTAGCCTTATCTGCATTATTACTGTTATTATCAAATGGACAGATTCTGTGGCTTTCCTGCTGATTGGAATGAGCCACATAATCGGGCTGTTGATAAAATAACATGGACACACACACATATGAGGTCTACAACTAATGAAAATGTATTAGATTGAGTGGGGTGTTGTTCAAGACCTAGATATTATTAGCTGCTCTTATGAAAAAGGAAAAGTTAGATTCCTGTTACTGTATGTTAATGTGCTTCATTGTAAGTATTTCACTTTCTACAAGCAGTTATAGACATCCTGCTGTTCAGTATCAAATACACATAAAAATTTATGTAAAAAAAATAAATAAGTGAAGGGTGAGGTGATATCTTGGCCTGTCTCCTCACGGTTCATTCCTTCTGACAGACACACAGTGCTTGTCCTATAAGAAGGCATAGACCTTGTCAGCACAAATGCTGGTTCTCTGAAGATGTTCAGTTGCTGGGAGATAGCCATTTTCTTTCCTGGCCAGTGTTAGAACTTCTCTATGGCTTAGAGAAAGCAAACAGAGAAAGGACAGCCATTTTCTGTCTAATCCTGTGGCCTTATATGGTGCCAAAAGGGATGTGTGTCCTACAGGAAGCGAGGAAAGTCTACAGGATGAGCTTCTGGAGGGGAACTACTGAACGTTTTTGGCAATGGGCTAAACATAATGCTTTGCTAGCATTAGCACTGGAAATGAGCATAGGAAAGGAGGGGGAGGCATCTTTCCAAACCCCACACTTAGGCTGTTTCTGCAGGCTTCTTCCAGTTACCTGTTATCCCCATCATAATAAGCCTGAACCATCTAAACAGAAGTCTGAGGCATCCAAGAGGAACTCTGTAGTTCAGAGCCATTCCCAGGTCCTGGGAATTAAACACCTCACAGGTTAGTTCTGGATTATATTCAGTGTTCCTTTGTCCTCTGTGTTTTGCCTAAAAATAAAAAATCTCGCTTACTCTAAGTGGATTATAGACTCCAAGGTCATCTTGGAGTTTTTCTATTTTTCTCAGGTCATCTCTAGAGTAAGGAGAGAGAGAGAGAGAGAGAGAGAGAGAGAGAGAGAGAGAGAGAGAGAGAACTTAAGACAAGGGCTAATGGAGGTCTCCTATCAAAGCAAAATGCACAGAAGACATTGACTTCTCCCCTAAGAAATTCCCTCCGGGAGACTTTGCTAATAGTGTCTGAGTCAGCCTGTTTCCAGCACTTGGTTTTGCAAAGAGCCCCGTTTTCCCAAAAGAGTCAGTTAGCTGTTTATTCTCTAAATACCTGCATTTTTATATGTGTGGATACTAGTCAAAGAATGTGTCCGGCACTGTCAAAGCATTCTTAATTTTAAAAAATGCAGTAAATGCCTACATTTGAGTTGTCATAATTTCCCAAACCTTAGAAGCACATAGAGATCAGAGATAAGGGGAAGTTTTACTTTTTAGCTTGTCTCAATTTTCGTTTGGAGTCTGTCGCCTGCCTCTAAGCAACAGTAGCGGGCAGAGAGACCTTCTGAGAATGGACTGATGTCTCTCTTGCCGACATGCTGGGATAATCTTCCCACAGGAATAGCAGTTAGTGAGTTTGGTCTCTTTCCTCAGCACTTCAGTGTCTTTATTAAAGTACCAAGGTCGCAAGGCTACAATAGACTGTAATCCAAATAGTCACCAACCCAGGATGCCATCAAGTAGCCTATACAGAGACACTACTGGTCCAGACGTACACTACTGGGAAGGTTAGCCTCTTTCCACAAATACAAGGTTCACTAGAACATTAACAGAGGGATTTTTATTCTCTGGTCGTTTCAGGCATTATGACTTCAGACATTCAGACTTTTAGTCCTTTTCACCCCATTACCGATTGTAGGGCACGACACCACAGACTTTATTATATTTTTATACTCAAACCTTTGGCCTGGATCATAGCACTCCCTCAGTCCTCTCCCTTCTCACTCCTCTTCCCCGGAAACAGTCCCCCTTTTTGCCTTCATATCACACCTACACACGTCACACATACGTACCTATGGTTAAGTCTAGATTCCACAGGTGAGCGGAAACGTGGCATTTTGTCTTTCTTCTATCCACCACCTTCTTTCTGCTCCCCTCTTCCCTCCGGGCATCTCTCTCTCACCAATAATCCCTCTTATATTTTCATATATTAATATTTATATTGAAATCTAGATTCTTAGCCATGAAAGGAACCATGATATATGTTTTTCTGAACCGGGCTTTTTTGGCTTAACATGTTCATTATCAGTGTCACCTGCTTCTCTGTAAATGAGACCATTTCCTCCTCCATCACAGCTGAATAAAACTCTACTGCGTGGATGTACCACGGTCTCTTTAATGGTCCATCTCTCCATGGCTGTCTAGGCCGCTTCCTCGTCTGGGCTATGTGAATCATACACCGACTGAGCTTCCTTCAGACGTTTACCAGGAGTGGCACAGCTGGATCACGTGGTAGTTCTATTTTTAGTCTAGTTGAAACATTTCTGCACTGATTTCCATAGTGGCCCTACCAGTTTATCCTTCTACCAGCCTTGGTTCATCTTTCCCCACGTCCTCACCAGCATCTGTTGTCATTTATTCTCTTGATGATAGCTGTCCCAACTGTGGCATGATGGAATCAGCTCAAGGTGGTGTTATTTGGCATTTCCGTGATGACTAAAAAGGTTAAAGATTTTTTTTCAAGTAATATTTATTCTCCCCTCCCCCCTTCTCTCTCTTTTCCTCCCATCCCCTTCCCTTTCCTCCCCTTCCCTCTCTCCTTTCCTTTCTTCTTCCTCTCCTTCCTTCCCTCAGGGTCTCACGTGACCCAGGCTAGCCTCGAACTCACTATATGTAGCTGAGAATGACAATGGAGCATCCAGTTTAGGCAGTGTGGGGACGGAGCCCAGGGCATCTTGCACACTAAGTACACACTCTATCAATGGGGCTACATCTCGTCTAACTCATTAGCCCATTTATTGACTGAATGATGTGAAGGTTTGGTGTGCTTAATTTTTTTTTTTTTTGGAGTTCTCTATAGACTGTAGACATTAATCTCTTGTCAGGGTATAGTGGGGAAAGATTATCTTCCATTTTGTAAGCTGTTTCCTTATTCTGCTGACAGTTTCTTTCTGTGCAGAAGCTTTTAATTTCATGGAATCCCATTTGTCAATTCTCATAATTATTTCTCAGAGAGGGAATGCATTTTACATTTCCTGGGAACCAAGGTCCAAGATGACAATGTTGTATCGGGCTAACAAGTGAATCCTATGCTACAAAGACAGGACAAGGGAAAAACTTCACAGTCGGCAAGTAGTAAGGTTTGGAGGGAAGTGAGCCGAGATTCTGCTGGAAGAATGAAGTGATTATAATTTAAAACCCCATTTTAATGGACGTATCAAAGAGGCGCTGATTCTACAGTCTAAAGAACAGACGTGCCTCATCATCCAGACGCGGGTTGTTTATTACATACAGAGGTGCTCTAAGGGGATTTATGTACTCCTCACACGATTAATGTGTACATCCCAAACCACAGTTCCTGTAACAGATTTCACAGTTCCTCTAACACATCTTGGGACTCACATCTTTAGACCTCAGCTCACTGTGGCCCCAGATGCTCGAAGCTCAGTTCCCCTTGCAGATCCAAGTCTTTGTTTTCCTATAAACTCAAACCTATCTCCTCTAGGAAGACTTCCTGAATGATCCCCACTCAAAGGCATCATTCTTAGTGCAGAGGAAATTCACAGCTTGGGAACTGTCCAC